AAAAGAAAAACCCCAAAATAAAAAAACCCAACCCATGCTACTGTGTATTAATTAGGGCTGCCAAGCGACTAAAAAGAGTAATTGTGATTAATCGTGAGATTAAAAAAATTAATCACGATTTATTGCGGTTTTAATCACACTGTTAAACAATAGAGTACCATTTAAATATTTTTGATGTTTTCTATTTTCAAATATATTGATTTCAGTTACAATACAGAATACAAAGTGTACACTGTTCACTATATATTTTATTACAAATATTTGCACTTCAAAAAACAAAAAATAGTATTTCAATTCACCTCATACAACTACTGTTATGCAAGCTCTTTATTATGAAAGTTGAACTTACAAAGGTAGAATTTTTTTTCTTTTAATATAACTCACTCAAAAATAAAATATAAAACTTTAGAGCCTGAAAATCCACTCAGTCCTTGTCGCGGATATGGAAAAATTTTACCTCAGGATTTTAGCATTCAGTGGGAGAGTGAATTGTACAAGAGGCTTTTTTTCCCCCTGCTGCAGCTGGGTTAGCCTTTATGATGTATGCGTCTCCAGAGGAGTCTTGGATTATTGAAGGGATAAGATTTTTTTAATCTCAGAAAGTCAGTATTCTGGAGATGGGAGGGGTGTTGTGCAGGAGAAAGGTGAATTCTTGATGCTGCTCCTGTTGAGCTGGGTTTCTGAGCTCACCAGATGCACCTCCTGTCCAAAGAGGAAGGCAGTTTCATCTTAGAAGTCTGCATTCAGTGTTCAGAGAGCATTAGCAAGCAATGACTTGTGCAGGAGGAGAGTCCAAGAGGACAGGGGTGACTATGAGGATGGGCAGGAAGAATGGGGGGGGTGGGAGTGGTGAAGCAAGCCATGTCTGGTGCAGGACGAGGAACTGTCTTGCAGCTGCTAGAAGAGTGGTTTCTGGTACTGGGCTCACCAGGCTCACCTCCTTTTACTGAGCTAGGTGGGCTCCCTTCAGTTGTTTGCAAGGGAGGGTGGATTTTACCTCAGGGACTCAGCATGTGGCGGGGAGGAGAGGCTGGTGCAGGGAGGCTGAGCTCGCCAGGCCCCTGTTCTCCATGGGGGACACCCCACCCCCCCCGGAGCGAGGAGCTGTACGGGGGCAATGGGGTATGGTAGAGCAGGATCCCTATATCTCTACTGGAGCCAGGATGGAAGCCACTTCCTTTTCTCTCCTCTTCCCACCCTCTGGAGGCATATTGGTCTCTGAGGTGCCACAAGTACTCCTTTTCTTTTTACACCTGTTCTGACACAGTTAGGTCCCTCTGCAGCTAATGCCTCCCTCCCCGCCCAGAGACATATGATTAACACCATTAAAAAAATTAATGTGTTATTTTTGTTTTCAGTTAATCGCAGGCATTAACTGCGATTAATTGACAGCCCTAGCATTAATTCAGGACAGTTGTGATAGATCGGAATGAAGAGAAATGTATGAGCCTTCAGTTTCCAGCCTAAATATATGGATGAGAAATACCAATAATGCTCAGTAAGAAAGACAAGGAATCATTACATTAAGTAGTTCTCTGAGAGCATGATTCTGCACCCAATGGGAGCAGGACTGGGCCTTAAATGCAACTTTTATGTAGAGCATTTTTAAAAAGTAAACATTAATTTAAAGCATTATAAATTGTATTCTGGTTTTATATAACAGAGTGAGCAAATTTGTGAAAAACAATTTAAAAAATATTTTAAATTTATCGCACCAGCCAGATCTGAATACGCTTCTAGACATTTTATCTCACAGATACAAATGAGAATCGGCAGATATTCTGAGGGGGAGGGAAATCCCCTTTGTTTCGTTCTACTTAGTTCTGCCCAAAGAATGTTCCAGATTGTCACCCAGAGTGTAATCCACACCACCAAATAACCACCAGATTACTAGGAAATGTGCCCAGTTTGGGATAATGACTATCAAATTTCAAAGTTTGACAGCAAAATATACAACATAATAGTTATACAACATGAGCAAATACTTTTGTTTCTTTTTATATTTTTAAGGAAACTGCTAACTAAAACTAGCTATCATACTAGAGTAATCCAGTGGGAACAGAATTCATTTACAGTTAAAAACAAAATGAGTAAAAGGAGTCATTTTGAGCTCTGGCCAACATACTGTTCTTCACACAGTCAGAGCAATTAGAATGGACAAACTGCTAGCTGTACAAAGTTAAAACTTAAGATGTTTTACCAGATCTGGGGGCAAACCAGGAAGGTACCAAGTAGACACAACTCCTTCCAACTTTAGTTTATATAAAACAAGAAGAATGTGGAAAAATTGGAAAGAGTCCAGCGGAGGGCAACAAAAATGATTAGGGGACTGGAACACATGACTTATGAGGAGAGGCTGAGGGAACTGGCAATGTTTAGTCTACGGAAGAGAACAATGAGGGGGGATTTGATAGCTGCTTTCAACTACCTGAAATGGGGTTCCAAAGAGGATGGATCTAGACTGTTCTCAGTGGTAGCAGATGACAGAACAAGGAGTAATGGTCTCAAGTTGCAGTGGGGGAGATTTAGGTTGGATATTAGGAAAAACTTTTTCACTAGGAGGGTGGTGAAACACTGGAATGCGCTACCTAGGGAGGCGGTGGAATCTCCTTCCTTAGAAGTTTTTAAGGTCAGGCTTGACAAAGCCCTGGCTGGGATGATTTAATTGGGGATTGGTCCTGCTTTGAGCAGGGGGTTGGACTAGATGACCTCCTGAGGTCCCTTCCAACCCTGATATTCTAGGATTCTATGATGCTCAGCAACTTTCAGGATGCATTTAGCATCATGCAGAATCTGGGCTCTTGTTTATTTGTCTGCTTTTTGCAGCATGGTGATTAAAGATAGCAAGGGTTCTGTATTCCACTTACAACTAAAATTTTCTTACTGGGGGGATGGCATCCATTAAAGCTGGATACCCCCAGGGCAACTAAGCCCCGCCCTTTCCCTCCCCCACCTTACAGCTGGAATCCTGAACAAAATGAGCACAGACCAGGTAAGACAAGGGAAACCAAGGACTATTTACCAATATCCTCTGTAATGTCACAACACTTTTCTCCATTCTTGTATTTTCCTTACACTCATGCTTCAAACATGAATAATAGGGTACAAATACTCTTAATTACTTATTTCAAAATGGTAACAAATATTCCTTACTACTTAAAATATGTGAGCTTTAAACAAATCACACTTTTCAATTAAAACATAATCAAGTTACATGGTTGGAGATGTGATGGTTCTCAGGGTACCCAGGACTGAGAGTCACCTTGTTACTTCCTGCCTCCAGCAAGAGGGAGTCTTGCCTGTGATAGCTGGGGTTAGGTCCCTAACACCACCAGCTTGTGAGCCTCTCAAGCACTTTCCTCTGGGCTATGCCAACTTGCTTTTGCCTTGCAGATTAACAATAGGTGCACCCCACTCCCCAAAGTCCCTTGAAGTGTTCTCCTGTGATATGCAGCCCCTTGAGACTGGCTACTCTCAGAAATTCCCAAACCTCGACTCCCAAAGGAACATGGTACCCCTGTTTACCAGTTTTACCTGAGGTTACCACTCCTGTATAATGCACAGCACTTATCAGCAGTTATAATACAAAAGTAGGTTTATTTACAAAAGAACAAACTCCACTAAAAACGAGAGAGTGAAGGAAAGAAATGGTTAAAATACAAAACAAAATCATAAAATGTGAACTAGGGCTTACATTTATTAATAGTTATCTTTCCTGTCTAATAAAATAGGTTCTCTCTCCAAAGGTTCAGTCTGTTGCAAAGTTGGCTGGTTTCTCAGGAACCAGGATCCAATTTTTCATGAAAAACCTCCACTCAACAAGATGTCTCCTCAGTGAATGGATGCAGTGTCCTTCTCCCCGGATATACTGCAGCGGTCTTTTGTCTTTATTCCTAAGCAGGGAAATCCCCTGACTGTTATAATGTTCCCTTTTTACCTCCAAATGGTTTTAATGTATATAGTTTATCTTTGATGGTTTTCCATTGACTTTTCTGTGTTGTATTGCTCAATTGTCTACCATTGCAACATTACATAAACAGCTAGGCAGAGAGGAGCGTCAACTCCCTCCTGCTTGAATTGGCCAGCAAAGAGACACATGATTGCCGATAACTCACTTTCCCGACAAGACCTTAAGGCATAGTTTTAAGTATAGTTACATTATTCCTGACATATTACATGTACATGCGTCCAATAATAATTATGAGTGGTGTATTAGGGGTAGTGAATTTGTCAAGTCTGAGACAGGAATTGCTTGTAAAGAACAGTGAAGCTTCTGCCCATTGGCTCTAATGACTCTCTGGGTCCAAGGAGACAAGAACAATTTTCTACTGAAAGTTGAGAAGCAGACTATAATAAAACTAAATTACCAGATCCTACACCACTAGAAACAATGTGGGATTTACCATTGTCTTCAGTGGATGCAGAATCAAGCTCCTCACCATGAATTTGGCTCTTTCATTCTAGGCCCAATCATAAAAACTCTTATGCAACTGAATAGTCCTAATAAAAGTATTGGCAGAACTAAGTCCTTGGTTCAATCATTAAAATAAATTTAATAAATTCAGTCAGCTTTTGTATTATAAAAACATAGTTAATTACATGTGAAAATGTATACTTTTCAGTAATATTATAAAATTTATAATGGGAAAATCCTTTCAACATCCTCACCATCCACTTCTCAGAACACAAAAATCCAGACATACCATTAAAATGCCCCCCTCCCCCAGTGACAGAATCCCTTTATTTTAATATAACCTTTAAGTGTTCTATGAATTGATATTTTGATATTTCAGGTATGTTCAATCACAATCCATCTCTTCATGTTAGAGTGCTGTTCTGGAATATGTGCAGTTTAATCTCTAAATATGCTGCAACAATGTTCTCAGTCTTCTAAGACACTGGCTCCCAATTAATGTACTGCATTTATGACACCTTCCCATGCCAGTGCTTTGCAAAAGATTCATGAACAAAAAACAAAACAAAAACAAAAAACACCTTACCAGACGCCTGGCAAATTCTTTGTTTTCTGAAAGAAATCCATATCCTGGGTGGACCTTTGAAAATAAAAACCAAGGTGAGTTTTAAAATTTGTCAGGTTTCAAAGACTAGAAATCAATACACAGACAGTTGGACATGTCAAGGTGAGACAGTCTCTCACCAATTATTTAAATTAGTTCAACATTTCAAGATTGATTGTCCTCAGCATAGGTTAAGTGATTTGGGTCTCCTAAATCACATCTGTTAACATGCATTGTCTGAACTGGCTTTTCTGGAGGCAGCACGTCTTGTCTTTGACAGAAGGGAGGCACTGTCTCCAGAGGCACAGATATGATCAGAGAATAAAAAGCCAGTCAGCTGCGAACCAGCTGAGCGGTGAACAGTGGAGATGCTAAGAGAGGAGAGCCCACTTAGGCTTTCATCTTGCAGGCTTCTCTGAGTAGTTACTACAGCACCTGAAGAAGCTCTTAGAAGGAAGGTAATATGGATGGGGAGTGTTCAGCTGTTGTTACCTCCACAGGATGTGCCATGTTTGTCTGTCTTTCTTCCACAGGACAGAAGCAACTTTGTCTGTACAAAGTGCAAGCTGGTCTCCATATTGGAAGAGAAGGTTCAAGGTCTGGAGAAACAAGTATTGACCCTGCGTTGCACCAGAGAAATTGAAGATTTCCTGGACGGACATCAGGATATGCTTCTCCGGACACAACATTCTGAAGATTCAGAGCAGGCTGCGCAGTGGGTACAGAAGGACGGTGAAGAAGTTTGGCAGCATGTGACCTCCAGAAGAAGAAAGGAGAGCATCCATGTACCAGCAATGCAGATACAGATAAGCAACCATTTTCATGTTCTCTCCACAGGTACTAATGCGGAGAGTGGACTAGATGATACATCTGCGGGAAGGGTGCAGAAGGAGACTCCGCCGATTGGAAGGCATGAGATGTACTGTCCTAGGGATGAGGGTTCCACGACTACCGCTCCCAAGAGAAGGAGGCAGGTGGGAGTGGTCGGGGACTCCCTCCTCAGGGGGACTGAGTCATCTATCTGCAGCCCCAACTGGGAAAACCAAGAAGTCTGCTGCTTGCCAGGAGCTAGGATTCACAATGTGATGGAGAGACTGCCGAGGCTCATCAAGCCCTCGGATTGCTACCCCTTCCAATTTCTCCATGTGGGCACCAATGATACTGCCAAGAATGACCTTGAGTGGATCACTGCAGACTACGTGGCTCTGGGAAGAAGGACAAAGGAGTTTGAGGCACAAATGGTGTTCTCGTCCATCCTCCCTGTGAAGGAAAAGGCCCGGATAGAGAATCATGGAAGTCAACGAATGGCTACGCAGGTGGTGTCAGAGAGAAGGCTTTGGATTATTTGACCACAGGATGGTGTTCCAAGAAGGAGGAGTGCTAAGCAGAGACGGGCTCTGCCTAACGAAGAGAGGGAAGAGCATCTTCGCAAGCAGGCTGGCTAACCTAGTGAGGAGAGCTTTAAACTAGGTTCACCAGGGGAAGGAGACCAAAGCCCTGAAGTAAGTGGGGAAGTGGGATACCGGGAGGAAGCACGAACAGGACAGCGTAAGAGGGGTGGGCTCCTGTCTCATACTGAGAAAGTGGAACGATCAGCGAGTCATCTTAAGTGCCTATACACAAATGCAAGAAGCCTGGGAAACAAGCAGGGAGAACTGGAAGTCCTGGCACAGTCAAGGAATTATGATGTGATTAGAATAACAGAGACTTGGTGGGATAACTCACATGACTGGAGTACTGTCATGGATGGATGGATATAAACTGTTCATGAAGGACAGGCAGGGCAGAAAAGGTAGGGGAGTTGCATTGTATGTAAAAGAGCAGTATGACTGCTCAGAGCTCCGGTATGAAACTGCAGAAAAACCTGAGAGTCTCTGGATTAAGTTTAGAAGTGTGAGCAACAAGGGTGGTGTCGTGGTGGGAGTCTGCTATAGACCACCAGACCAGGGGGGATGAGGTGGACGAGGCTTTCTTCTGGCAACTAACGGAAGTTACTAGCTCGCAGACCCTGGTTCTCATGGGAGACTTCAATCATCCTGATATCTGCTATGAGAGCAATACAGCGGTGCACAGACAATCCAAGAAGTTTTTGGAAAGTGTAGGGGACAATTTCCTGGTGCAAGTCCTGGAGAAACCAACTAGGGGCAGAGCTCTTCTTGACATGCTGCTCACAAACTGGGAAGAATTAGTAGGGGAAGTAAAAGTAAGGGATGGGAACTGGGGAGGCAGTGACCATGAGATTGTCGAGTTCAGGATCCTAACACAAGGAAGAAAGGAGCTCAGCAGAATACGGACCCTGGACTTCAGAAAAGCAGACTTTGAAAAGCATCAGGGAACTGATGGACAGGATCCCCTGGGAGAACAACATGAGGGGGAAAGGAGTCCAGGAGAGCTGGCTGTATTTTAAAGAATCCTTATTGAGGTTACAGGAACAAACCATCCCGATGTGTAGAAAGAATAATAAGTATGGCAGGTGACCAGCTTGGCTTAACTGTGAAATCCTTGCTGATCTTAAACACAAAGAAGAAGCTTAGAAGAAGTGGATGATTGGACAAATGACCAGGGAGGAGTATAAAAATATTGCTCAGGCATGCAGGAGTGAAATTGGGAAGGCCAAATCACACTTGCAGCTGCAGCTAGCAAGAGGTGTTACGAGTAACAAGAAGGGTTTCTTCAGGTATGTTAGCAACAAGAAGAAAGTCAAGGAAAGCGTGGGCCCCTTACTGAATGAGGGAGGCAACCTAGTGACAGAGGCAATGGAATGCGTTACCTAGGGAGGTGGTGGAATCTCCTTCCTTTAAGGTTTTTAAGGTCAGGCTTGACAAAGCCCTGGCTGGGATGATTTAGTTGGGGATTGGTCCTGCTTTGAGCAGAGGGCTGGACTAGATGACCACCTGAGGTCCCTTCCAACCCTGATATTCTATGATCTTTTTTGTTTCTTTTTTTGCCACACTTCTCCTACTACAGATATCTCAACATGTATCCTCAACCACACCCTTTCTATTCCTCTTTAAACCACCCGCCCCACCTATTCCCTCCCAAAAATTGTTTTAGCATAAGATGTTAACAGTAGTTCTAGTGTCTACCATTAAAAGTTCTACCACCTCTCATGTTCCTAGCACTGCCAGTGATCAATGGGATAATGTGCTCTGCTTTTTCAGCAGGGACGAAAGCAATGTGTCCTCAGATCAAAATTATGTATCCCCACGTGCTATCCTCACTCTAATATAAATTCTGCATATTTACACAAAAACAGCACTTTTTATTTTATATAAACTGTCAACTAAAGAAACATTCTGACAGACTAAAGATTATAGAATAAACTATTTTTATCTTCATTGTCTCAAACAGTGTAAGCATCTGTACTATTTGTAAATTTAATTTCAAAGGGTTTTTGTTTTGGTTTTTTTGCAAGCACCATACTGAAACACATTTATTTCAAAAGAAACAGTAATACTAACTGAGCCACTCCAGGGTAATTACTGGTGTTGACTGATTCCATCCATCAAATTTTAATTTAAAGATGTTTTTGTACATAGTAACGCATTTAATTCACTGGTACCACAGCAAAAAGCATTATTCCAATCAGTTATACGTATGTTTGTTTTTCCAATATAATCCCTGTTAAACTTTGGATCTCTAGCCCATTGGGATGGGAGGGGGGCAGACAACAGGAGCCATATTTACCCGTCTATGCTAATGTGCATTTTGTGGAACACTATGAAACAACAAAAATAATTATTGGATGCACCATTTACCTTTTCACAAGTGTAATTGTGTGTGTAATTTTAAAAATGATTAAAAACAAATTTAAACAAAAGCCTTTTTTGGACACAATTTATAAAAACATCAGAAAAAAGCTGTTATGGCATGGAAAGGGTTAGTGCTCAAAACTAATTGGGTTTTTTTTCCCCAAGCAAATTTGGGAATGAACTGAAGCTGCTCCCTGGTGTGAAAGCTGAATCCAGCAGCCACCTGCAGGATCAGCGACCAGAACTGCCAGATGCTACAAAGCCTTTGATTTCCAGTAGCGATTTCGGCCACATTTAACTCATGTGACATGAACTAACTGGAATAGCATATTCAATCACTTTTTTTTTTTTAAATACAAACTCTGGCTTTTCTGCTTTCTATATATGAAACAGCTGCAGCAGATAGACTCATTCAGACTCACAGCTTGGGCCCTGGTTTTCTTAATGGCTTCCATGATGGCATCCATGTTGAGGTAGCTTTTGCTGGTGGGAGCTGGGCCAACACAGACAGCCTCATCCGCCATTTTCACATGAACCTGAAGAGGCAAAATTCTGCATTAACAGATGCTCCCAGCAAAAATAATTACCACCACCCTGAAATATGCACACAAATCTGATTGTTTCAAAGATAATTAACATACCATAGCCACTTCTAAAATGTGCACTGAAATTAAACATCAATGTACAAGAACTCAAAGTAACATTAAATCACATTTCATTTGATCCAAGCTTAAGTCACTGTCAAAATGTTTTATTATTTCAATATATACTTTGTATTTGATTAAATAAAATCATGACAAATATAATTTCAGCCTCCTGTACTGATCATCTATATGTAAATTCACTGCCTAAAACTACTTTGTTACATGTAACCAGGGTAGCCTAATATCTTAATACTTAACAACAAACATTCATGGCCAGTTCCAAGCAGGCTCCCCAGGAAGTTGGGGATAATTAGAGTGAATTGAATGAAGGGATGCAGTGAGTGTCCCTGCACAGCATCAGGTCAGCACCATGCACAAATTAAAGCCTATGACTAAAGAGTTCAATATCACTACACGTGAACCAGAAAATCTTGAAAATTATTTAAGCAGGCTCATATTTGATTCCTGATCCATTGTATCCTTATTCACGTGTACAATTGTCAAATACATTTTTAAGTCAAATATTAACATACAGAAGTCTAAGAAAGTTTTCCCCACATTTTATAGGAATAATTAAATAGAAATGTTTTGGAGAAATGTAAATGGGTCATCTGCATAACACACTAGGTTGTTTTCGTTTGGTTGGGAGAGAAGTTATAAAACTGCAACTAAGCAGTGATCTTTGCATTGCTTTGGGAGTCCCAAGGTGATTTTTAACTACATATTTTCTTTTTCAAAAAAATACATACATTTGATAAATGAGAAACGTTTAATTGCAATTTGCAAAATGATTAAAATATTTTTTTTAAGCCAGTGTCTATGTTAACATATCAGTTCTGGCATTCCAGCATTAGTACAAATCCAACACACCTGAAGACCTGTTTGTTATTTCTTCCATGTAATATTTTAAAAACACCACAGCCAAAATATTTTTTTTAAATTAACACATTACAGTTAGCTGTTGGACACTGGCATTAAAATACATGAAAGTAAGTAGCAAAATTTAGAATACTTTCAGTTCCTTGATTTATTTTCTTTTAGGAGTCTTACTCCAACAGCATGATAATGTTATATTGTAAATAGAGTATGAAGTTGTCAATTCACATGGTGATGTATAAAAACAGTTTGCTTTTTATGTTGCCTCTGCATATTACAGGATTATTCAAGGAAAAAGATGGTAGAGAAATGCACACATACATGAAGATATATATAAAACAAGAGAGGCAGCCAAAATATTTTAATGGCACAAAATTTTGCTTGAGAAGCAAACATTCAAGACGACGTGGTAAAAACATTTTTAGCAGAAGCACAATTTCCTGATGTAACAGGGGCGTTTGTTCTGAACCTGAGTTTTGTTTCTCATTTTTAGTCAGGCTTTTAAGAGTTAGTTTGGAGAATTAAACCCTAATTCCCAGATTCAACAAGGTGCTTAAATTCATGCTTAATTTTAAGCATATGATTTGTCCCATTGTAATTAGTAGGGCTAATCACATGCTTAAAATTAGGCATGCACTTAAATACTTCCCTGAATCAGGATCTACAAACACACCTCACTTTCTGGAATCTCTAATCTACCACATGTGAACCATCACAGCTTCTGACAAATACTTAAGTTTTACTATGTAGTTATTCAACTATACCTATTTTTTTCTTTTTTATAAATAAAGTCTTTATGGAGGAGATTTTAATAATGTCTATTTGAACACACAGAAAACAATTCTTAGATTGTAATATATTATTTTGAACAAACATTGCCAAAATTAATTTATGCACTAGCTTTCATTAAGCACTAAGAGCAAGAACATTTTAAGGTCCAAAACCTGCATGCATCCTTACCATAGAACCATAGACTGGAAGGTACCTTAATAGGTCATCTAATCCAGTCCCCTGCACAAACATTCCTGACAGGTGTTTGTCTACCCTGTTCTTAAAATTTCCAGTGACCAAGATTCCACAGCCTCCCTTGGTAATTTGTTCCAGTGCTTAATTATTATTACAGTTAGGAACTTTTTACTAATGTCTAATCTACATCTTTCTTGCTGAAATTTAAGTCCGTTACTTCTTATCCTGTCCTGGTGGAGAAAGAACAATTTATCACCCTTCTCTTTACAACAACCTTTTACATAGTTGAAGATGTTATCATGTGCCCCCTCAGCCTTTTCTTCTATTCTCCAAACTAAACAAACCCAATTCCCCCCCCGCCCTCCTTTCCTCATAGGTCTTGTTTCCTAGACCTTTAATCATTTTTCTCTCTCTGGACTGTCTCCAATTTGTCCACATCTTTCCCAACGTGTGGTGCGCAGAACTGGACGTATTTACTTTAGTTGTGGCCTGATCAGTGCTGAATAGAGTGGATGAATTATTTCTTGACTCTTCCTTCCTTCTTCTTGCTAATACAGCCCAGAATGATGTTTGTTTCTTTCGCAATAGTACTGCATTACATTTTTGACTTTTATTTATTTTGTGAACCGCTATAACCCCCAGATCCATTTTCTGCAGTACTCCTTCCTAGGCAGTCATTTCTATTTTGTATCTGTGCAATTGATTATTCCTTCTTAAGTGCAGTATTTTGCATTTGTCCTTATTGAACTTCATTCTATTTATTTTCAACCATTTCTCCAGTTTGTCAAGATGTACAAAGTTTAAAACTTAAGAACATATGTAATCTTACTGACTTAAATGAGACTATTCAGGTGAGTGAAGTTAAGCAGGTAAATGTTGGCAGGATTGAGGCTTTCCTTACAGTAACATATAATCTTATGACAAAAAGTTAGATGATCATTTTTTTGAATACCAAAAGGAAAAAAAAAAAAACCCACAAAAGCGATACAGACACTCAAACACAGAACTGCATTCATTAGAACTACTGTGAACTGAGTCAAAAGTGACATTTCTGTGTTTATTTCTCCTTTTTTCTTCTCTTCTTTCAGCTCCTCTCCTCCCTTAGCATTCCCTGCTCACTTCTTTTTCCCCCTCCCCCTTGTTTTCTGGTTGTTTCCCTTCTCCCTCCACCTCCCCCAAATTTTCCTTAATTGCTGGCATCTTTCCCATCCCTTGCTCAGAGTTCAGCATCAATTCAGTCCTCCCCCTCCTTTGCTCTACCCCATGTGTAGGCATAGCAAAAAAGTAGAATTGACAACATCCTTTATTAGTTTCATTTTGCCTGTTCTGCTCTGGCATGGCGCACAAAGCAGAGACTCTCTGCATGTGAAGCCAAAGAGCTTTTCATGCCACCCTCTGGCATGAATGTCAGCATTTGTTGACTTTAATGGCAGCCGCTTGAGTAACTGAAGGAATTGAGTAACTGAAGGGACATGAACCTTTTATATAGCTGATTATTTACTGGCTCTAGTCATCCAACTTTAAAGACCAGTTTCATACTAGCATTCATGTGCTATCCCTCTAATACCTGTTAAGGCAGGCATTTTACTTGTTATGTAACACACTGGATCAGTGTGATGATGAGTTTGTTCATGTAGTGTACCATGAATAAATTACATAACATATGGCAAGTTATATTGAAATATGATACTAATATCTAAACCTACAGAGTACCCACAATTACAGGTAACTATTACAAAGTCATTATTTGTATCTACATTACAAAAGCACCTTTCAAGTTACCACACAATGATGAGCAAAGACATGCACGGTAACACTGCAAGGTCCCTTCTCTGAAGAAACCAGAAACATACATACATGCAGATTTTCTACATTTCTTGAAGAATCCAATACTTTTCTCTTTGTAAGCATTGTGAATTTCAGCAGTCTCCTCTGAAATTCAAGTTGCTTTAGCTTGTCAGTTATAAATGCCTATACTGAGTGTGTGTTTGGTTTTCTTTTTTAAATTTAGCCATAACTTATTTCATGCTAAACTTTGCAAGGGAGTAATTGTTTCCCTTCATTTACTTTCAAATGAAAAAAAAAAAACCTGGTTTTTAAACAACTGTTGAAACTGTTTGGACTTTGATTAGTTTAAATTATTAGAACATCAATTTAATCTCAGCTCTACAGGTGGACAGTACCAACAAGTGGAAGAATGTATGTTTTTGAGGTGCCTGACCGTTTTTGCTCTAAACTTTAACAATGTTGAACTATCCTCCCTCCAACCTATGTATTTCAAATAGATACAGGGTCCTAAGTAGCTAATGGGGGGTGGAGGGGGGACACAAAACAAAACATAACAAAAAAACAAACTGATACTTTACCAAGTCATGTCTTACACCTATGTACAAGCTGCTTATACTCTCCAAAATTAACATATCTAGAACACGTTTCATAATGACTAAATATTTCGTGTCATGGTTGGCATAAGACACTAGAGTTTCTTCAAAAGGGTAGCTAAAAGATCTAGCAACATGTGATACCACACATCTTTCAGCTAACTCAGATTTAAAGGCAAAATTTAGCAACCTGTGACACCATGTGGGTTTGTGATACTCCTGTGAGTGTGGATCCATACATCAATCAACAGATTATACTCAACCACAGCATTATTTCTTCCCAATCCCCACATCCATGACAAATCCATTATGGAAAATATTCTATATTTAATTAGTAGTTCAACCATAAGAGAAGTTTATTTAGGCATAATCATTCTATTTAAATATTTTTTAATTAAGTATCCAAGAAACATCCGAATGGAAAATGCTTTTACAAATCTTGAAGTAAGATTGTAACAACCATGAAATTTCAGATTTATATAGCTGAAATCATGAAATTTACAATTTTAAAAATCCTATGGCTGGGAAATTGACCAGAATGGACCCTGAATTTGGTAGGGCCAAAGACATGAAACCTTACACTGTAAGAAAAGGCAAGTTATGCATGTTTTTTATTTTTTTAAAAAAGCATGCCACCTGAACTGTGCCATGTCACAGCCAAAAATGCAG